AGGAAGGCCTGGCGCAATATGGTTCATGGGGTCATGAAGAGTCGGACACGACTTAATGACTAAACAACAACAAGTTTTCCAAAAGTTAGTATAGCAAGCTCATGCATAGCTTTAGCAAGACTGTATTATATGAATTAAAGATCAGTAAAGACAAATACTGAAGAAGCATTAAATAGCATTTATTGAAATAATTGAAAATTCATATAATATATAAATTCTTTTCACCAGCATTCTACCTATATCCCAAAAAGCAATTAATCATCCAACTGAATAAATAATCAAGAAAACATTAATTTATGCATACTGACAGGTAGTCCTCGACTTATGATCACAGTAGGGACCGGAAAATTCATAATTAAGCGGTGCAGTCATTAAGTGAGGCATCACATAACTGCACCTGATTTTATGACATTTTTTGCAGTGGTCATTAAGCAAATCACATGGTCGTTAAGTGAATCACATGGTTCCCCATTGATTTTGCTTGTCGGAAGCCAGCTGGGAAGGTCACAAATGGCCATCATGTGATCCCAAGATGCTGCAACTGTCGTAAATACATGCCGGTTGCCAAGTGCCTGAATTTTGATCACGTGACACTGTGATGATCATAAGTGCGAGGACTGGTCGTAAGTCACTTTTTAAAGCGCCATTGTAACTTTGAATGGCCACTAAATGAATGGTCATAAGTCAAGGACTACCTGTACTGCAAAGTGTCAACGGGGCTTATTTCCAAGCAAGTTTAGAATTGGGCTACTGATTTTGTGTTAAATTAAAATGGTATGGACAGTAAACACTATAAGCAATTTTCCTGCCTCCCCTTTCCTTCTGTAATGTCTATGCTCCTTAAAATCCGGTCCTCTGATGTAACTATCTGCTGTAGCTAGAGAGACCAGAAATTTAGCACTAAAGTAAAAACTAGTAACCATCTGGAGAAAGGCTGGGAAGGTGGCAAATGCCCTGCCAACTTTGAAAGACCAGGACTCCTGATGTTTTGCCCAGTTGAAGCCATTTTGCAGAGATTCCATTATTCCTGAGGGTGACAGGAATACTATGGGAGCCCTTAAGGGTGGTTATTGGATGGGCTAATTTGTTCAGGTATAAATATTGGGAAAGAATCAAGGAATGGAGAGAAAAAAGTTTTTGCTTTGTTTTATTTATTTTATTAATTCTGACTTGGCATTATGAGATTTATCAGATAAAGAGCAGAGAATGGAATATGGCCTGAAAATAAGTATTAATGTAGTAAGTGATTAAGAGATATAGTGGTAGGAAACAACCTGGGTATTGCAGAGAAAGCTCTTGGATGGCACCAAGGAAATCAGTGACAGTAAACATGGTCAGCCTAAAATTCTTGCTTTTTAATGCCAGGACATTTTTTGGTAGAACATCTGGTATACAAAATGAAGGTGCTGCCCTGGCATGTATTATAGATACCTGGCTGGAAAGAGGGAGATGAAATTAATCTCTCCCAGGTCTTCCCGCTGAGTTATTCTGTAATGTATAAGGTTAGGACAGGAAGGTAGTGAGGCTGCAGTCTATAAAATTCCATCCTGCTGATTAGAAGCTCTGTCTGATCTGCCAATTTAAGGGTTTTTCCTACATTTGGATGGTTGTCACAGTACACCATTCACTCCTCTGAACAACAGTGTCTCTTCACAAACTGCCTAAGGAGATGTCTGTTGGAGAAATATACTACCCTGAAGGACTACTTGGGCTTCAGGGTCCTCTCTGAGATTATTCAGTTAGGAGTGGCTTAAGATTTTATGTTTGACATGAACAACCATGGACCTGTCTCAGTTGGTATCTGGTATCATGCATGTAGCAGAGTACTCTCCAGTTCTCGTATTCTGTTTGGCTGGAACTAGTGATCTGAAAGCACAGATATTTGTAACTCTATTGTGGATTCTCTGGTCAGTTTTATAGTGGTGGTTGCTATAAATCTCTGTAGACCTGAATGACTAGGACATATGGTCTGGAATGTGGAGACCCTGAAGGTTGACACTATCAGTCCTAAACACATTCTTCCCTCTATCAGAGCTAAATCAGCAGCTTGGTTTTCAAACCAAGGTAGCCAAAAGCAAGGCAGCTAAATCAAGAGATTGCTACTCATCCTTTTTACCCATGGGAAGATTCAGCAAGATAATGCATGGTGAATACACTTTACCTGGTTTTTTTCTTGTAACTGAGGAATCCAGTGGTATTCTGGACTTAGTACTAGAGCTTGTACTGAGAGGCTTGGCAACACCTTCATTTGTTAATTTATCACCTTAGAATTAAACATAAAGATAAATGTATCAGCGGCTATTAGTCACAACAGCCATATATTATCTCTCTAATCAGAGGCAAAGTGTTTTTTGATACCAGTTATGTGGAATATGAGAAAGTGAGTACTATTCTACTTGTATCTTAAGTGCTGGATTCTTATAGGCCTCATATAGGCCAATATGAGAATAGAAAGCTACACTGAATTGGCCTATTCATCATGGCTTTTCTTATGCATACATCATACAACTGCTGTACTCCTACTCTGTTTTTGATTCAATTCAATATTCCTGTAGTTTTAATTTGAGGCTCATAGGTAGAGTAGTCAGGCCACTTAAAGACAAAATTTTACTCAAGCATCAAACATTGTGAATCAATTATTTAATAAAAACAAGCTATATGAAGAACATGTCTCTACTGATCTCCTGATTAATCCTCATAAGTCCACAAATTAAATAGGGTCAGTACATGTAGCAGAGCACAAATGAAGACTGTGAAGGGAACGGTGGGGAAATGCTATGCAACTTTCGAGTTAATTTTTGGAAAATGGAGATTTCCTTCTCTCACTTACTTTAGCAGTCAGTTATAATGTATTTCAATCAGTTATAAGAATTCCAGAAACAAAATAGAAAATAAAAGAAAATGAGAAAAAAGAATCATACATGTTAAACATTTTAAAACTCTCACAAAATCAATAGAAAAACAATCAAGGAAAATCCTAGAGAATTATCCATAAACATGCCATTTTACTGCAGCTGAACCTATACCATTTCCAATAATTGTAACATACAGTATCACCATGGTGACAGAAAACATCTGGCAACTTTCTTTGCAATCATGGAATACTGGTCTAAAAATAGGATGAGGATTCTCTCCATCCTACTTATTTTGGAGAGAAGTTACTAGTCCATGCAAAGATCAGAGTAAAAGAGGCAGCACAATAACACATGTGGCACTGCCTCAATTTCACTGATTCCACAAGAGCAGATGCATTCAGCTTTGGGGACATTACCATACTTTCCTTTCAAAAGAGCTAAGGGTAAGGTAGTGAAACAACCTAAGAAAAGCTCTTTCATACACCATGTACATAAGATGTATCTTGCAGGATGAAGACTATATTTGTCTCCACATGAAGGAACATGTGTGTTTTAGGAGCATAGAATGAATAACAAATGGCTCTCAGGAAGATAGATTGAACAACTTTTACCAAATGGAAATTTGTATGCATACATACTTAAGAGCCATACAACATCTGTCCTACTTCAGCATTGTATGACATAACTGGCAGTGTAGGAAACAACCATCTCCTAATATTTATATACTTTTCAAAACTGTTTATACAGTTCTTGAAATGAGCAGTCATGCAATGATTGCTTCTTTTGTTGTGTTTCACTTATTCAGCTGATATGGCTTGGAAATATTTTAATTAATCTTTCTTTGGATTAATTGGCTTCATGTTGAATAATTTAGCATAACCCTGGAATTCCAAATATGGGGTGCTAATGTGCTCACAGATGCCTCTGTTGGCACCCATCAGGTTCTCATCCATACCTGATCATTTAAAAAAAAAAAAATTAATTACAAAAAATGCAAAGTAAGATGCTGGCTTCCAGCATGACCTTATTTCTGAAAGTATGTATGAGCCTCAAATTAATCTAGGGCCCTTCAAACAGTCATGCATGCCCTGGTCTCCTCCCAATTGGATTACTGCAATGCACTGTACATGGAGTTGCCCTTGAAGACCACCCGGAAGCTACAGCTGGTTCAAAATACAGTGGCACAAGCAATAATGTGCACCTCTCAGTGTGCCCATGTGTCATAGCTGCTACACAAGCTGCATTGATTGCCAGTTGGTTTCTGAGTGCAATTCAAAGTGCTGGTTATTACCTATTAAGTCTGTATAGCATAGGGCCTGGATACCTCAGAGACCACTTGTCTCTAATCATTCCTGCCCACCTAGAACATTCCCGCAGAGTGGGTGCACTCCAAGTCCTTTCCATTAAACATTGCCATCTTGTGGGACCTAGGAAGCCTGCCTTGTCTGTTGCAGCCTCACTCTCTGGAACAGCATCCCCCCAGAGATAAGGATGGCACCGTCTCTCCTAGGGTTCCGGAAAGCTTTGAAAATCTGGCTTTGGTCCCAGGCCTGGGGTTGATGTTTATTTGTTTAATGGCCCCTGTGTTGTTTTGTGGATTTTGTTATTAGGGCATTTTAGTCTGGGCAGCCTATTGATTTAATATTTTTAGCTGTTTTTATATCTTTTTTAGTTTTGTGCACCACCCAGAGTCCACTGGAGTTGAGTGGCCAATAAATATAAATAAATAAATAAATAAATAAATAAATAAATAAATAAGCAAGTCTCATAAGCTTTTTTTAAAAATAAAAATGGCGGGGACTTCCACCTATTGTTCCCATTGTCTGGAACTGTGTTCATCTACTTCAAACATTCTTCAACTTTGTAGATGGTTATGGTTCCTGGGGCAACTGTTCTGTGAAGCCTCAACATCAACCATTTTGCAAGACAGTTAACAGCATGTTTTTAAATTCCAAATGAACCACCAGGGCAAAAAAGTTGGAGATGTCTAGTCTGACAATTGAAAAATGATCTAAAGTGGAAAATTTTACACATACAAGCTTTCATTGGCATAGATGGATCAACAGCTGGCATCTTTGCCCAATTCTCAAAGTCTGAGATCCCTGGCAGAGCCCACTGTTGGTGCTGCCTGAAGCCTCCTTTAGTTTATTTTTCTGACAAGTTTTATTTGCTCATGGATATTTGGAAAGTTAAAATATCCATCCAAACCATCTACTGCTGCTTGAAGTATGGACATTATAGCCAGTTAAATAATTAGACTGCTTTGACAGATGAAAGTCCATGCCCAAAGACACTTTGCCCAAGTCTCCATTAATTTGGAACTGGCTCTGTTCATTAGTCAAGGATGCATTTTTCAACAAGAGCAAATGTTAGACTAATGCCAGAAAGGTAAATTTCTCAAGTAATAGCTATACCACTTAGGAGAAAAGGGCCTGGATATTCCTCTAGGGATATATTTTTATAGAAGATATGCTAATGGAGGGGAATATATCTGAATCATCCACAGCAGCAGGCAAAATAATCACAAAAATAGAGAAATGTATGATCATTAAATAATAGGTAGTCCAATGTTTATTTCTCACATTTATATTTTAAATATAGTTAAGGATGCTATACCTGAAGATTACACAATTTTATCTTTTTGATCAATAAACTAAGTATGATATCATGCTAGCTTTCTTTTAAGGGTTGAAAAAGAGGTGAAAAGTCAAATTAAAATTTTAATTTTATTTGAAATTAATGAAACAATCTGCAAGTCTTGGAGAAGTGGTGGTGGGGGGTTAAGTTAACACTTAACTATATGCTTATACCAGAAGAAATATCTGATGACCTTTTAATTTTTTTTTCAGCTTATTTTGTATTTTTTCATTTTTTAGAGGAGGGTTTGAGATAAAAATGAAAAATATTCTAGTATTTATTTATTTATTTATTTGGTTCCTTCAAGTCAGCATTGATTTCTGGTGACTGCCTGGAAAAGTCCCTGCAGTTTTCTTGGCGAGCTTTCAGAAGTGGTTTGCCATTGCCTCCTTCCTAGGGCTGAGAGAGACTGACTGGTCCAGGGTCACCCAGCTGGCTTTGTGCCTCAGGTGGGACTGGAACTCATAGTCTCCTGGGTTCTAGCCTGATACCTTAGCCTCTATACCAAACTGGCTTTATTTTATATAAAATATAAATTATTAATTGTTCTATACAATGGCACAAGATTTGTTGCCTCTTAATTTTATTAACTATAAAATTTATTTTGATCTTAAGGATTATTAAGGAATGGATTATTAATGAAAGGCTTAGCAAAGTCTAGTGTTAAACAGAAACAGTTATTATATTTCAGAACCTTGAATAATTTAACCTATATAATTTGGAAAAAGTTTTAAAATCCAAATAATTTGTCTTCCTTAACTCAATTTGTTTTACTGGGTATTACAAATATTTTCAGTGAGTAAGCAAATCACTTATATTCTCTCTATATCTCTAGTGGCATTCCACTTTTCAGACTATAATTAAATTGTCAGAAGCACTAGATACTCTCTTGCCCTCCATTCCAAAACTTATATGGAAATGATTATGGCACATCCAAAAGTTAGGATATGTTTATACCTCAATAATTATAATAAGAATCTTACAGGGTTAATTATGATTCAAATTACATCTATTTCTTTCCTTGCAGCTATCACTACTTTCTTAATATCAAATAAGCACTAACAGTGTAATCAAATACAGGTCTACTGAATAGGGCCTCATTTCCTGGCATTTGGCTGTAGAACTGCAGACTCATTATTTCATAATTATATTATTGTTTTCTATTTATCTGTCTAGAAAGATAAGCAAAGGACCACGCAGGTATATCATTAAGCATATCTGGAATGAAATAAAGATGCCACCACTAAACATTTCAACAATATGAGGAATAATATTTAAGTGTTACCTCTTGGGATTTTACTCCAGGATAGTCCCCCTGGTGTTCTTGTTCTAGCAGGTGCTGATGTTGTTCTATGGACAACTGAAAAAAGGAATGTCAAGGTTATTAGAAATCAACTGGAGACAATGATATATTTATTTTTGCTACAGTTACTTTACAGCCTTGTACTGACTTTTTTAAAATTAAAAGGTGGGTTTATGAACTGACACTTGTTAGATTCCCTCTGGAGAGTTTCCCTTTCCTCCCCAGGACTACTTCTCTGTCTTTCTGCAGACAATGTGCCTTGACATTTGGGATGAGGGACTGGAGGGGATATTTCAGGAAGCAGCAGCAGTAAAGTCTGCTTCTCTTTGCAAAGAGATCAAACAACCATCTAGACTACATTTTGCTGTAAAGCTGCACTGTTATTGTTATTGATGTTAGGGTCCTTTGAGTCAATCTTGAGTACATGGACAGGTTCAAGTGGTTTTCCTGGCAACGTTTTTGGAAGCCAGTATGTTTTTCTACTTCTCTGTCTAGGGCTGAGAGAAAGTGACTGTCTAGGGTAAACCAGCCGGCTTTTGTGATAAGGAAGGACTAGACTCAGGTTCTCCCCATTCCCAGCTCATTGCTTTTAACTTCTACACCAGATTGTCTCTCTAAAAGTTGCATTTCAGGCAGGTCCAGTTAATAAAAGAGGTAATGTGCTGAGTTACAAACTTAACTCTGTGATCTGCATCAGCAGAACACTGACTGAGATGCAGAGTTTTGATAGAAGTCAGCTACACTAATGCAGAGGAAAATATGCAATTTGGAGAGGCTTTTGGAAAAGACTGTAGTATTACATACTAAAGCAAATATGGGCAACTGTTTAGTAGGCAAGAATCACACTGAATGTTTTTGAAGAGATTGAAAGTCAAAAAATGAACAGGACCATATTACATATGTGGTTGAAGCTGGAATTTTTTTCTGGAGATTTGTGGTGGCTTTGTGTTTTAACTGTGCAGATTAATTGTGATACTGTATGTGCCTTAAGGATTTTGGCCCAACTTTTATCTGCTTCCAATTTCAGTATGGTAATCCTAGTAGTGTTCAGCAATTTTGGCCAAAGGGGTTCTTTGAGTACAAAAAGGCATGGCTGCATACTGTCCTGGGGCTGCAGGTTGTCTACACCTATATGAAGAGCTGTCCTTGTTCCCGTGAAAATTAGCACTGGGGGAAAAAAACTATTGAAAAGGATATTGAAGTTCCTTTAAGGAAACAAGTATGGCACAACTCCTTTAGTACATGCCATAGTTAAGAATCTCCCTTAGCTAACTGAAAGTTAAAAAATCTATGTCAATTCACCAACCAAGATAAAAATATTAAAAAACTATTAATTAGGGTATTTTATAGGAAAAATATATTACTAGATTTGGCCTAGGACTTACCAGTTTTCTTGGGTTTTTCAGTAGTGAGGTATACTTTGGGTGATGCTGTTAGAAAGAAAACAAATCTAATTTCATTTTTAGGATCATGATGTACCGAAAAGAAAATATACAACATGATAAAGGATCCAAGCACCCCAAATTCAGGAAAAATGGGCACTAATAGTCTGCTAGTTTTTAGCGTTAGCTAACATTTATATTAAAGGATCATACATTTTACAAAACATGCATATAAACAAGGCAACATGCTTTGAAAAACAACAATTCTCCAAACATTAGACATATAAAAAAAATCATAAATTTTGAAAGTAAAGAATTTCAGTAGACATCATACATCTAGCCCAGAAAAAGACCAGTATTATTATGTTTGCATAAATTGCATAAACAGTGTTATTGTAAGGTAACACATATGAAATTAAGGTAGAAGCTTTTAGGTAAATACTTCTTTCCATGATAAACTTGTAAACCAAACAAAGAAATTATTTTTCTATTTCTGCTTGTACAATAGAGGTATAATACTACTGACTTTCTCTACAAGGTAGTTTTAAGGATTGCTGAGAATGTGGCTGCATTCGCACATCATGCTATCCCCCAGGATCTTGGGGTAGGAACATAATGGAACAATCCAAAGTATGGTTCAGTATTTCAAGGATCAGACAGATTTATGCTTTTAATTCAAGACAGTAAATTGATCAGCTAAATTACGGTACTGTATTGATCTTAGTATTCTAGGTTTTCTATTTTGAGGGCTATTGATGTCAGTCGATAAAATGGACAAACAACAAAGAAGAAAAAACTACACCAGCTAAAATAATAAGATTAAAAAGTAGCTGGAGAAGAAAATATATGTATCATCACTATAATGTTGCTTAATACACAATCAAAACTACTAAATTAATTTCAATTACCAGTTTTCAAACGTGGAGTTTTGGTGGCTGTTACTGTGCTGTGAGGTTTAGATGAAGCTAAAACAAAATAATTGAACTTGTTAACTGTACCCAGTATTGTTTTTAAGTGGAGTATTATGGCATTCAAAACAGAAAGTACAAGACTGTCAAAGCAATGTTACAGTTGACGTGCCTAGGATTCAGCATGGACAAGAGACTTGTGTTCTAGAAGTTTAAATCTTTGAGACCAGCAGATTCAGAATTAATAAGCTCTGATACAGAAGTTTGTTTGAGGTAGCATTCTGTACAGTTTGTATATGAGGTGGAAGATCTATGTAGTACATTCACACACACACATGCACATGAACACGCTGATTCATTAGCCTCTATGAAATTTAAGTGGATAAATGTTCATTCCAGTCAACTTCAAGGAAATCTCCCACAATATCTTGGAACAATTGGAAACATGATTGAGAAGCTGAATTGATTCTGGATATGCTGCAGTTGGGATATAGGGAACAAAAGAAGTGTGACAGTCACGATTAGGCATAATTCTCTGAGTCAGATTTGGAAATGGAATAACAAGCAAGATTATTGCAAGAAAAAAAAATCCTAGCATACTTCCACCTGCATATTTTATTAATAATCACAATTGAATGTATTCCTGGTATCCTTTTCTTCTGTTCAAAGAACAGCTTATGGAAATTGTGGAATGCCCTTGTGGAAACCAGATTTAATTTTTGTTTAGCACCAGGTGAAGACTACTAACTCAAATTTTTATGTCTCAATAAGGGTGGTCTGGTCTGTTTTCATTTATTTAATTTTCAATGTGATTTTGGCTATATCCCACCACAAAACGTATGCCACCATAAGATACAGCATTTGACCAAGTTCCCATCCTTATCCTTTTTAAAGATTTGTATCCTTTATATTGCCAATGTTGTTTTGCTCTGACTTCATTTTAGAAGTTTGGATAAGGTAGGAGAGAAATCCAAACAAACAAACAAACAAATAAATAGCTAAAACCCAAAAGCAAACAAACAAAAATATATCAATAACTGTTAATCCCAATGATTGCCTAAATAATATCTTTCAGACTGCAAAATAAATGCAGATGTGAGGGGTAACCACTCCTCTCCATCTCTGTTAGTAATACGCCAGTCCAAAGTTAAAAGGACAGATTACATTCAGATATCCCTTATGGGAATTCTTGCAGCTGAAAGCACAGGAACTCAAGTTCCTGCTGCTAATCCAGAAAGTCCCAGGCTTTGGGTACAGTAGGTGCAATTGTTTGTCTCTTTGCCATCAAGCAGTCTCTGATTCTCTAGATGTTGTTCACCTCTAACTCTAATAAACCCTGACCATCAGCCATATTGATTAGGCCTGATGGGAGTGGTGTCATAGAAAATCTGCCCTCTTTGGTTTTTAAGAGGCAGATAGTCATAATACTCCTTGGATTGCTAAACAGTTATCTTTATAGAGATAGTATACAAAGAGTCCTGACAGCCTGCCACATGACTTGAGAAGAGTAAGTATGAGAGGAATAGGAAGATTCTATTCATTTTCTCCCACATCATTTTCTTCTCCTTCCATTATGACCTGGTGACCATATTAAATAATAAGAGACAATTGGCAAATCATAAATTAGAAAACATAATCCTTTGTGCATGCTTCCAAGTGACCCTTTTCTTGTCTTGGTATCTTCTTTCATTTGAAGAGAACTTTTTAGTTATTTTCAGCCTTCCTTCAGTTCTACACCCTGATCTCTGATGTTGATTCCCAGGCCATTTTGTCTGATTCCCAGGCCATTTTCAGAGATTTAGACACCTCTGTTCCTGACAGCAAAACGCCTCATAGCAACAAAACACATACAATAGCAAAGAGAGTCAGGACAAGGCTTCATTTTGTGGACAACTCTTTGCATTGCTATAACTGGCCACAAAGTGAACAAAGCCTCAAAATATTATGGGGGTCCACCTTAAATTTGCAGCTATGTATCATATGTTTTCTCACTATTCTTTCTTTTATTTTATGAAGAAAAATCAGTCAAGAGGGAAAGATTCAATCAGCCTTCCAATGGCTTTTGACAGTTATCCTGCTGGAAGTATGCTGTGTCGTTTAATTCTTTGCAAGCTATTACTACTTCCCATTGGCCAAGAAATAGAGAGGCCAAACCTTCCTCAGTGAGCTTTTCATGAAGCCATGTATCATATTTAGAAGAGAGAGAGAGAAACACCTACTTCATATAATGTATTATAATTTGACACTGGAATCTAATATTACCATAGATAGTAGAGTGATATATTGTACAAGAAAATATTCACTGGCAAGTGGCATATGCAATAATGCTTAACATATGGCACAATTGGACATATTGGCCATTTTTTTAAAAAATCTTGCTTTTGGTGTAGCTCTGTTATGAACCATTATGTATTTAACTGAAAGAACTTGATGTCAGCATACTTCCAGATATTGCATCAGTTAGATTTCAAAGTACTAATAGCAGTTTAAAAAACCGCTAAAATCCCATCTACATTGAATGTTATCACAATGCAATTACCAGGTTTAGTCTGGGATTTTTCTTGTTTGCCAGACGGTTTGGGTTTCGAAGGAAGAAGTCGTGTTTGTTTTGGATCTGGAAAAAAGGAGTGGAATTTATATACTTTAGGAAACATAGTCTCATGTATTATTCAAATGAGAGTACATTCCTTAAAATCATTAGATAAAAACAGTAATGATTCCATGTATTTCTGGTAGCTGATTAAAAAGACTTGAAATAGGGCAATGATATATAATCAGTGATAAGGAGAAATGATCAAGCTCTGAGAAACAATATATTGGGTAGGAAAGATAGAAATCAAGATATTGCTTACCAATGTTAAAATCTGACAGTAACAAAACAAAAACATGTATGGAAAAGCCTACAAAATATTAAGCAATGGTGTGTTGCAATACAAAATGACATGTTATTTTTGATGCTCATGAGAGAATAAATTGCATATTAATTTTATTAAGGAATGTTTTACCCCTAGTGGTCTTTGTTCACCCAATAGCCTCTCTGGCAGTGGGAACTCACAGAGCTCCCTCTGAGCTAGCATATTTTGGGTGAGTAGAATCCATCTGAAGTAAGTGGTCATGAGAGTAATGAAGACCAAATCATAAAGGAATTTAAAAGTAGTAAACCAGCATCTTGAAATGATCCAGAAGCCTACTGGCAACAGCTCCTGCAGGCAACATAAATCAGCAAGGGCAGCTGCATTCTGTGCCTGCTGTAGATTCTGGGTCATTTTCAAGCAAATTGCAATAGCGTAACTGGGAGATGATAAGGATGTGAGTCATTATTTTCAGTAGTTTTGATCTAAGTTCTGGTGGTCAATAGTATCATAGGAATCCAAGAGATCCAACAGGACTAGGAGATGCATACACAACCTCATTCAGATCCCTCTGCAAGTCATTCGCAAAAGTAACCATTGAGGTTTATGTTAGTTACTCTGAACATGAAATACGATTGATAAAGAAGCATTTTGAAGCTACTGCAAATTTGGTTGTGTGATTATGTTTTTAACTGCAAAGGTGTAAATATCATTGTTCATAATAAGTAGAACTTTGGACGTGATAGCTGTGTGGATATCTGCAAATGTGGCTAAAATATTTGTGTGTGTGTGTGTGTATACACATAATCTTCAAGGCAAATAGAGATACAGTAGCTTTGTATCTTGTCTCAAAGAAAAGCTCTACAAATTTGGTATTGATATAAAACAAGATAACAGCAGAAGGCTTTCATCTAGCACTATTGTTATCAGCTATTTCAGTGATTTCAGGTGTGCTGCAGTGGATTTCTAGTTACCTTTCAAAAACAGAAAAGAAAAAAAAGTATCTGAGTATATAAGCTAATTTTCCTGACAAGTTTTTCTTCTTATGTTGGGATATTTTTGCTAAATCTGGCCACAAGATAATAGTTTTCACAGAAGACAAGAGATGGAAACATTTTTTTCTGTAGTCTCTCAGGTACAAGCAGAGGGAATTCTGGCTATCTTGCTCTAAAAATACAGAAACTAAAAATTTGGCTGACAATATGAACATATAGAATTACAGACAAGACTCAGTTACCAGATTTGGTCTCTAGCATTCTTGGCGTGGATAGTTTTGATTTATTAGGAATGAACTATTCCACTGGGGAAGGTGAAACAAGAGTTTAAATCTGGATTATACCTTGCAAGAATGCATCTGTCTATAAGCTTGTAAAAGCAGTTATGAAAGCCAGCTGGGCAAAAGCTTGAAAAGGAAAGGCAATGTCATTATTATTATTATTAATTTAATAATAATAACATTATTATTTTAGTATTTTGTCAAATAATAATAACATTATTATTTTAGTATTTTGTCAAATAATAATAACATTATTATTTTAGTATTTTGTCAAATAATAATAACATTATTATTTTAGTATTTTGTCAAATAATAATAACATTATTATTTTAGTATTTTGTCATCATCATCATCTTTGTCTTTAAAGATTTCTGAGTAACAAGTATTCTTTTGCTTAGTGTTTTCATTATGGGAGAATAACTTGCATATAACACATTTACAAGAATTCAAAAGGCCTATTTAAATGACACTCAACTCTTGAAATTTCTGGTTTGCTTTCTGCAATTTTCTTTTATTTGATTTGTAACACACATGGCTAGTTCATGTCTCCATAAACTGAATTAATTATTAAATTAACTGAAATTTAATAATTAATTAAAGTCTGCACTAGCTGATATTTTTTTCTGTGCTGAGATAATTGGTCTGAAATGGGAGCCCCCTCCATGTGTGAGACATTGTGGCCGTGTCCTTTGTATTCATAATGTGACCATGGAACACATTGATATAATTGTAGTACACTGATAGACCATGTATACTGTATTGGCAACCCATGGTTTTGAATACCAATAATTACTTATAAAAATATTCCCCATCTATTATTCTGCATCTGCAGAGGAACAGGTACAGGTAATTTCTGCATCTGTAAAGGAGCATATACAGGTACTTCCTGTACAGTCAGTTGTGACTGTTTCCCTTCACTGAGATAACCACAGAAATTGTGAGGTTTAATGATGCAGTAAGACCACTGGTGACTTGATCTTCTCTCTCTCTCTCTCTCCCCTTCAGAGCAGATGCTCCCACACCTTCATTTCTTCTCCTTTCCCCTGCCCAAAAACACATCTCTTCCCTATTTTTAATTTGATGGAACATATTTAACTGTATAACATCAAGAAACTGAAATAGAAAAAAATATCCAAAAAACTGTTGTGGTGAAGGTGATGAAACAAAAATCATGGCTCCAGCTTGCATTAGATGAATTACAAGTAAGGATAGTGGTGGGATAAAGTGCTTGTGTAAATAACTTCCCCTGCCAGGTCGTTCAACTACAGTATTTTGCCACCTCACTGGAATTAAAAAGCTATCTTAATATAAAGTGTAATATCATACCATGTTGAATATCCAAAAAAAAAAAAAAAGACTACAAATTAATAATGAATTTGTGTTTCATGTAATTATCCAATGCATTTTCCTTCTCTGTATGTTGAATTTGCTGGCTTCAGCCTACAAAACATGTTCTTGGTCACACAAACTACAAAAGCTACAAAAGCTACAAAATGACTACATTTTAGAGAGAATTGGATGTTAAGAACAGAACTTTATTTGAAATTTTCATAGCAGCTGTCTATTTTACAGAGGCAATTTCATTGCTTTTGAAATGAAATAGAAGCAATGTTTTCTTGCCGGTAGAGAATTGTTGCCTGAAAATTACAAAAGTCAATTTGCCTGAATGATATCCCTAAATCATATACTGTATGTATTGTGTTTTAGCAATCTAGCTTAATCTTCATGATTTTGAGAGACCTTTTTAAAATCTATTAAAAATACACCTACAAAGTATGTTCATTCATCCATCCAAGTAAGTGCATTTGTACATTAAGATAGGCAAACATTTCCCCCTTCCAAATGGGTTACATATGCCATATTCTCATACAGAAATGGTGCTGAAATTAAATTTATATATTCATGCTTTCTAGTGCATGAAATGGTTAAGACTGTAATGATGCTGCTGCTTTAAAACTCGCTTTATGTGAAAGTCAACATGTATTGCATATTTTGTGCCAAAGACAGCTGAATATATGGAAAGAGCAACTGGTTATTATCTGTAATGGTATGATACAATTTTCCTGGGAATTTCTTTTCCTGCAAAAAATTAAGAGAAAAGCATGACTTTTATTATATATGATTACCAGGTGTTTCCTTTGTCTCTTCAGGGGCAACAGGTAGCATAGTTGTAATAAGATCTTGAGAGAATGGAATAATTTCTGTGGGACAAAAAATTGAGAAATCATGAAAGAACTGGAGAAATTAAGAAAGTTATTTTGCAGTAGTTTGTTCCAAGTAGTTTGTTCCAAATAGTTTACTTTCCTATACATGAAAAATTTAAAAAATATTCTTAGCCAAAAGGATTTTACTGCATTAAAAGAATAGTTGAGAAAGCAAATAACCACATATTCATGGATAGGAGTATATTGGTCAACCAAAGAAAATAATCCTTGACAGGTCTTTTTCACTTAGCCTTTTCTGACTTGGGAAGTAACAATATATAGATTAACATGCTTCCAGTTGTTTAATCTGCTCTTTAACTGTCACCCTATAGAATGCCTTCAAAATATGTAATTGCCAGGAATGGCTAATGATGTGTTCTATGTCAGATTTATTTTCTGCCAACATGAGGGTAACCCTTTTCTATGTCTATATCTATTGGGAGATGGCAGAGAAAGTAATCATTTTGCAATGAGGAAACAGTTGTATAAGTTTCTGCATCAAGTTATCTGACTCTCTTCTTCCACTTTGATTGTCCCAAGACAGCTAGCTCTTTGCCATAGTACTGTTCTAATTGCCTGTATCTCTGATTAGTTTCTTGCAATTTCAAAAATTATTTTTGGGACATAACTTCCAGTTCTTAAATGAAGCTTTATTGTCTTTCAGATTCTGTTTAACCACATTAGTATTTTAGACTAATATTTATATTAGACTAATATTTATATGAAGCAAATATTTTATTTGAAGTTCTATAGCATTTTAAAAATAAACAGTCTAACTTCTGAAAACATTCTTGATCATCTTTCAATTTCATTTTATTAATTATCTAATGAAGATACTGAATTTTGGATTGACAGATTAGATTATCTCTACCCAATCTATCTACTCAGATCTTGATGAAAACAAAGGGGCACATAATTCATAGATGAGAAAATTGTTTTATTTTGGACTGTTTTGGTATTAGCAAGCAGCACCCAAAGATAGAGGGAGGGATTTGAACAATCCAATTCCTACTATTGGGAATAACCAGAAAAAGGCATAATTCTTTAATGATATTTTTTTTCTCCCAGAAAAGTGGTCCCATTTCATGTAAACCAATTAGTTCATTCTACTTGACTGTACTTCCCTCTACACTTTTTCATTATTCAGACATATTAAAAACAGAGTCACAATCTAAAACCACTATAGATGATAAACCAAACAGAAAATAGATAGAAAAAGCATACTGAAGTACTGAATGTTTAAAATGTAAATGTCATAAAACTGAAATGCAATCGAGTCAACTCAAAATGCAGCCCAAACTAAAAATGCATACTAAATAGGTTTCAAAGAGTTATGCAAAGTACAGGAAGGAATAAACACTAATATTTTAAAATGATCATTTTATTTACTATTAAGTTATATAAAAAAGAGGTCTATTCCTAAAGTTCCAATGAATGATAGTTCGTACACTTTTCCTTGAAAAAATTACAATTTACTAATCTCTTGTCTGCTATTTAGGAGTAATCTGTCCACTCACACTGGACAACCACTACTGGCTGTCATGTAAGATATCTTTCCAAAATATCAATAAACTTCTCCATCCTACTTGCACTATCTTTCCAACTTGAAGACTGACATTTTTGTGCCCTCCATGCTCAATAATTCCATACTTTTTCATACAGGGATAAATCACAAAATTCAGAAATAAAATCCCATGTCATATGAGTAAACATCCCCTGTCCTATTTTATACTTCCTACATAATGAGGTAATTAGGAAATACTTAAAACTTTCTCTGAAGTCCAGTAAAGAATATTTTCTTGAATTAGTTTCATGTGAAGATCACAAGAAACATACATAATATACTTTAAGATCCTTAGCTACGTATCTGTTAACATGATATTCCAATTCTTCATTTCAGAGTTCTTGCAAATAACTTAATGATGCTCTTTAATTGTGTATACAAAGAATAATCAAAACACATTTCAAGACTTTGTAGCAATTCAGGAGTTTTACAATGCTAATGAATCTGAATCAAATTGAAATCAAGAAATGTTTTAATTGAATATACCACCAAAATTTTGCAATTTTAGGGAATCCAAATTCATGTTACAATATCACAAATGGTTTTAACACTTGATGACAATTTATGTACATGATAAATCTATACTCTGAGATAATCTCTGTTTGAAAATAACAGGAAATCAGAATTTTTGGGAAGCCATGGGCAAGTAAGGGCATTAATACTTTAGATCAGTTTGTTGCCATAGATACTATAATCATGATGTGTTATTTATTTATTAAATTTATATCCTACCCATCTTCCCAGAGGGTGACTCTGGGCAGCTCACAATTAAAATCCAAACAGTAAAAACAATAAAAATATAAATATCCATGAAATTAACTAACAATAATTCTATAGTAAAAAAAGAACAAAACAAAACTATATACAATTCAGGATGATGGGGGGGGGGAACAGTATCAATCATCCACCAGCCAATTCCAACAATCCAAGCCCCCATCAGGCCCCCAGGCCATCTGGCATAGCCATGTTTTCACACTTTTTTGGAAGGCCAGGAGAGTGGGGGTGGCCCGCACCTCAGGTGGTAAGGTATTCCACAGGGCAAGGGCCATGGCAGAAAAGGCCCTCTTCTTAGACCCTGGCAGCTGAAATTCCTTGACTGGTGAGGTCTGCAACATGCCCCTACTGCTAGACCGAGTGGAGTGGGAGGATATAATGGGGGTGAGACAGCTCCTCAGATATATGAAAACAGGCATTACTACTTCTATAATGCAATGCATTTCAAAGACCATCTGCTTTCAATTATCTTCAGAGGTCCCATTCCATAGGCTGGTGAAGCGATGACTGGCAACAGGGCCTTTTCTTGATGGCTCCCAACTTCCTTAAAAATGCCTGTTACCAGAGAACCTTGGATGCTCTTTTAGTTTCTGCTAATTTCTCTAATACAAGATTTTATTATTATAGTAATAGTATTGGGCAGTTTCATATTGCTTACATTGAATGAACTTCCCAAAACTAAACCTCCTAGTGTACACAAGAGGTTCTGGCACTTATATTTACTGTTCCCTTGCTTGTGCAGATGGATCCTTTTCTGGTGACTGCACCCACAGATAATTTGGAGGTGAGGCTGGAGAAATAAGGGCAGCACTATTGTGTGCTTTAGATTCAAATGGAGGAGGATTCCCTTATTTTGAGATGGTCAGTAGCTTCTATGAATAAACACTCTTAATATGGTTATGTATTGAAATAAATGCTTATTGTTTCCTTTTGAGAAAAAATTATAAAAACTGCTTTTTAAAAGCTATTATATTGGGGGGGGGGGGAAGTTACACTATTTAGAATGCCATGAACATATATTGTAAATCAAATGTACTGTTTCAACACTATTCCAATTCTCATTATGACATCCTTTTATGTAATGCTCTTTAGACAACAAATATGCAAACAAGAGGAATGCTTTAGTACAGATAAAAGTAATTCATTATTATTTCACATACTTATACATATATTCTTCTATCCATAGAAAAGGAAAGCTGAGTTACAACAATAATGCCATTTGATATTAAATATTTGTCTAAGGCCCATTTCTGAGTTCATGATTTTAACTGCATATACAGTACAATTTCTGAAAACATCAACTTTGCTTTGGATTTATGCACTCTAATTAGCAAGTCTGTGGTAATTGTCATGGATGGGGCAACAGTAGGATGTAATTTATCAGTGGCAAAGCAAAGATGTTTTGCATATGCTAAAATAAATCTTATTTACTACTTTTAAAGTTTCCAGAGTAGCTTGTCGAAACAAATAATTAGGCTGAGCTACTGAGCAAATTATAAAATTTAATGTTTCACCATGTAGGGATTATTTTAAGAATGAAGTCATATAAATACAAGTTAAAAATATACATACAAACACAGAGAGACACACAGAATGCAAAAAGATTCTGCAAATGAGTCCTGGGACAAAACTATACACAATGTATGAGCCTACCTTAAAGTGGAAGAAGTGATTGCAATCTATGACATTACTGTATCCAGCATTCTATAATGACAGGATATGCTGTATGCACCCATGCATATACACTGACATACCCAGTGAGGAAATTTAATGGTGCAGTTTTAGTAAAAGAGACAGTAAAATAAGGGAATAGCAATTATATATCTACCTGGTTTTGATTGGTGTATTTTTTGACTGGGGGGAGTTTTAGGTTTGGATGGAACACGATGTTTGATTTTTAGACCTGAAAAGAAGCAACAAACTCTATATAAACTGGTGTCCATGTGTGAGAATTATTTATCATACTGATTCAAGTAATAGCAATTACAAAAATAGTGAACAGAATTCACAAAAGAATTCACAAAAGAGGCAAGAAGAACTTCTTTCTTGGATTAACAATTTCTAGTCTAGACTGTAAGTCTGACACCACATTTGGGAGAAGAGTAGTGTCACCTGAATTTCTTTCTGATCAAAATCCATTCCTACACCATTTTTTGCATGCCTGCAAATTTTGAAAGAGTTAATTCTAACATATGTAGAGGATACCAACTAGAGTAATCTATATTAGGAATAGAGAAAACAATATTTTTTTCATCTAAATTGTAGGAGTTTGTCATAAAAACCCTCATTGCAATGGATCTACATGGTTGGCCTATGCCATAATGAGACAATTTCTAATTCATCCTTTCAATAGATGCATTTCCAAAGGAGATCTTCAGTCTCCTGAGTAAAATGGAAAATCAGGACAATTACCGCTACTTATTCAGAGGGAGATTCTATTTTGTTGCTTAATCTGGCAAAAATGCTGGCATCTGCAACTCAGTTGGGTCATGTGCCTTGATCCAACTAAATTGCAAATGCTGACAACTCCAGACTTCCAGACATCCTGAGAATATTTTGAGAAGAGAATGATAAATGATCAGTGTTTTAATTAACATTCTAGAAAACATATCTAATGTATTAAACTTTTTCTTTAATCTCAGGGAATTCTCTTCAGGGAATATGATCTCTGTGGAGAGCGTTTCATTAGTTGAGAACAAATAGCTGAAGCTTAAAAAAGTTTTTTAAAATAAGTAAATAATCTAAACTTTTCAAGTCCAATTGGTTGGCTCAAATTATATTAGAAGTCCTCATATATTAATTTAAAGGGGGAAAATGGACATTCCCACTTACGTAGAAAACATGTAACATTAACTGAATTTATACTGATTTAAATATATAGAATAATAGGTTAAATGTTTGCAATGTTCTCAAGTTAAAGGTATCTTGAATGTAATCCAAGTTGCAGTTACAAAAGTTCTCTAAATTGGAGGAAATTGTTTTGGTCAATAGCAAAGACAACCTCTTGGCTATTTTCTAAAAGCCTGTGTGTATGGAATAGAAGATTCCATACAGATGATGTATGGAAATGTCTTGTACATTAGATGTTACAAGAAAAGAAACTTGTTTAATAAGCCAAAAATGTGGTTTAAAAGGAAAAATGTTATTCTCGTTGCTAAGAATGAATTCATCCTTTTTTTTTTTTTTTTTAATATTCTGCTGGCATGCCTGTTCTATATTTTTAACAGATAAGAAAAATAATAAAGAGTTGCTGCTATTTCTGAGTAAGAAACTATTTTTACAGAAAAACAAATTAACTTTTTTTTTTTTATTATATATAGGTCTTTTCCACCATTATTTGTGTATTGAGATGCATTTCACAAAAATTATGTATAAAAGATACACACACACATACACACAAACTATTAAACAGTTTTTTTTTCAGTTTTTCATTTTAGTTATACACGAATATGTGGTTTTTTCCCCACACTATTTTATGTGAGTATGTAAAATGGAGCTCTATTAAATATATCTGAATCCAGCTTTCAGAAAGTCAAAACAATGAACCACTCACTGGATTTCGTTGGGATTATACCAGGACTGGAAGAAGTTGGTCTGGTTGGAACTTGATGTGTTTCCTTAGGAGCTGTAAGAAATTATACCAAGGGTGTTTCTTTTTTAACTTTAATATCCCAGTGTTACCAAATGCAAGGTGCAGAGAGTTCAGACAAACAGTTCTACAATGAATACTATATATGTATTAAACCAATCAAAAGACCAGTAATAATATTGTGACTGCTTTATAAAACTTGATACTATAAACATGAGTAATGTTATAAAAACACAAAAGTTAGCATTTAAGAAAAGCATGAAATTCCAAAACCTAAAATACAATATTAATTCTCTGAACTAGATGCAATGTGATCTGAGAACTAGACAAGAGAAACCACCTTCCAGGGCTACTTTCAATTATTTAGGAAAAAACACCAATATAGCTAAGTAAAAAAATGTGTTAGCGCAGCTTTGTGAACTCTTATACTTTCTTATTCCTCTTATAAGGAAACTGTTTCATTGTAATGCATCACAGTGACAAGCAAGATGAATAAAAACATTTCAGGTCAAGTGAGGTCTGTGATAGTCTGAATGGAATTTTCCAAAGTGCTTTTCAGATCTTACATGGTCTCCTGATTGAAATATATAGATGTAGAAGTAGATATAGCTATACAGTAAATACAGATATAGTTATAATTTTTACAGAGAATTATACTGTATTTAAAAAGCAGAAGCAGCATTCTCTTGGGAGACTGTTTGTCCTGCACTCCCCAAAGGTCAGTTTTAACCAGAAAGGGCTGGGTTCTTCTAGCTGTATATTCCTGGTTCTGCCACTAATGTGTATATTACAGTTTTTCTCCTGTTTCTGTTAACAAGGAGTTTCACATGGTTGTACTTTTTAATCATTTATTACTTGAGGTCACTGTACATCTGTGCCATTTTGACTACTTCATGGGCAACTTCCAGATGCTGGCAGTCACAACTGCTTGCTCCTGGCATTGCCATGCTACTGCAGCACTGGTCAAGGGTGGTGTTCACTCATTCCTGATCCCTCCCTCCAACACCTGCATTGCTCCTCTGTGTGACCTGTCACCTGTGCTATTTCTGAACAAAAGTACATCACTCTTTCAGCAGAGTGTCAGACCTGAGTTTTGAAATAGCCTGAGTCACAAGTATCCTCCAGACCTGCAACCTGTTGGTCAGGCAACTTGGCAAGGACTTAAGCCAGCCATGGTAAACACCCACCTACACTCAACCATCCTTCTTCACCATATTTTAAGAAAAGGAATTGGTTGTTGTTTTTCCCATTTCAGGTGGAAAAGTGATAGTGGAGTCAGAGGAATCCACCTATCACTTCCTTAACTTGTCTTGCATTGAAACAGTATTGACAGCACCATTTGCCAGCCTGGTAAGTAAGGCACAGTTTTATACCAGCAGATTTTTCTGCAAGCTCATGAACTGGAGTCTGCATTTTAAGACAGCTGTCTTGCTGCACCATTGATGCATGCACCATGACTACATGATTTAGTAATAATATGAAAGAGGCATTAATAATGAAGAAACTTGAATGTCAAGCTCAACTTAATGATAAATGTGATGGCATATCATTAAGACATATAATTCTGATTATTTGTAATTAAAAAGAAAATATGAAGATCCATAATTAAGTATATTACCTGTTGACGATTTTGCTTGTTCAGTTGTAAAGATAACTTTTTCCATGTCTGCATCAATGTTATCAATAAATAAAAACAAAAACATTCAATATTAATATTGTAAATATGTTGCAACATAGCATGGAAAATACATTGTGGTTTCATTCAGATATAGCACTCAATGAATATACATATTTTATTTGATCAACTTTAAGTAACAAGCTGTGATCTGGAGTACAAGAATGTCTTCTGGGTATATCAAATACAAACATTGGTTAGACAGTGTATTTTACTAATATACAGAGCTTTGCATTCAGAGGCAAAGAGACAGTTTAGCCCCTGTCTGTAACTTTTTAAACCAAATATTTCTCTTCCCAGAATTATGCTGAGGGTAGCTGGGCAATCTCAGAAAAAGATGCAGCTTTAAGAAGGTGCGAACAGGTGCTCTCTGCTTGCACCCTATGTACTCCAGTCCACCCTTTTTGAATCCAAAGCTACACACATATATGCTACATTGTTTCAGATGTCCTTCCTATGTATTTACCTATGTACAACCATTACTTTTATGAGCATAAAATGCTAGAAATGCATTTGTTTGTTTAAAAAGGTTTTAGGAACAATGGGGAACATGCAGGTTGACTGTGTTAGTCATAGACTAGCAAGAATATAATTCTGACTCCATTTTGTACAAACACACATTCATCCCAAAGTTAATTCCATTTACTTGGACCATTCTCAAAGACTGAAGTTCTGATGCTGTTTTTTTCTTGCTAGCTACAACTGTAACTTTTGGAAGTTGCACTATGTGGGGTATTTCTAGATTAGTAACTATGAAGTGTAAACATGCATTAAACAGACAAACAAAAACTTCCAGCCATCTAAAGCTACTGAGAAAGTATTTTCATCATCCGATTGATGAACTGAGCAATCATTAACACCCTTTAGTATCTGATTTCTTTTCAATGTTATTTTCAATGTGAAAATAAAACTATGTCTCTTTAAGGTGGCAGAAGATTTTTCTTGCTGTTTTCAGTCACTCTAATGAGAACATAATGTGATGTAATGGGAATGTACTGTGACCTACTATTATGAGAACATATGAGATTATACAGTATAGATTGGCAATGTTAGATTTCTTTGAATATTGAATCACACTCTCAGGAAAAGAAATTCCATGCTATGGCAAAAATAAGTAAAAAACCCAAAACTGATCAGTGTATTGACACAGGACAAACAGGAATTTACCATGCTGAGGCTGTGGCACTTCAGTGCTGGTCTGAGGTTTATGCCTGGCATAATCTTTCTCTTCTGGAAATAAAATAAGGAATGCAAGTTATTGATTGATGTATTTTTCCAGACCCCTGGGCAGTATACTAAATGCCATTTAGCAGCATGCCTATGTAAATAAAGTATATTCCATAGGACAAAAAGACAAATAAGATCCTTATATAATAGGATTTAAATCTACATACAGATTAAAAGAATAGAGGTCAATGGCTGACTGCCCCTGAATGAGCAATGAGAATATTCAGGCACAAATGTTGTTTGATGGAGATCCAAATTACTCAGACACTTCCTGCAGATTCAATCATGGCAAGGATTGGAAAGTGAAACATAATATATTCCCATGACTCTTAGGTTGCATTTCAGAAAAACAATGAAATTAATGTATTCACAAGGAAAACACTGTTGGTTCTTAAAAGTGCATAGCATTTCAGTTGTGTAATTTATCTTCGGGAATTAACTCAGGCTTTTGTAAAGATATCACCTAAGGACAAACCTTTCTGAGGTTTTTAAAACAGGACTTAATTGTGGGTATGTTAGTTCTAAGTCACTGTGGAATGACTTGTCAACTATAGTGTAATTAAAATCTCACAAAGGCATTACTAATACAGAGTAAAAAGGCCACTGAAACACTAGGGAGATAAATATTTAATAAAATAGCATTACCGATTTTGATCTTTGGTGATTCTGTTCTAAGCACAGTAACTTTTACAACTGTACATGAAGAAAATATAAAATATAGGGTTCTTTTGTCCTATCATCCTTGTGAAAATCACACATAATAGCTAACAAACCCATTATAATTTTTAAAATATCAAAGCAAAGATAATTAACAATAACAAAAAGAGAAAATGATAGTAACATTAACATTATAATAAAAAGATAAAAGTAAAAATATACTAATATTATTGATTACTGGTGGTAGAATTGAAACCTAAGTTCCAATGTCTGTGATTTTAAAAAAGTCAGTTTGTTGGTCTTCCTAAATTATAATCTTATTAAATGGTAGTATGAAATAGGTGGGGGAGAATGGGGAACACAGATCAGGACCTGAGCAAGAATATTGAAATAGTAACTGGCAGGGGAGAGATGGTGGGCTTTCTGCTTTAGTTGCCGACAAAATATCTGCTATCCCGAATCCTGGATGAAACTGCTGAGCTGGCATGCATTATATAGATATAATATCTATATTATAGGGGGGGGGGGCATCAGCCCCACTAAGTAGACCAGGAAATCGACTCCACAAGAAGGCTGGAACTACTTATATTGAGATTGGGTATTATAACAGAATCTTGCTAGTCTGATTGTGCTATGTCTTCTCTTCCTTCTTATAGTTCAGTGAATTAGGGAGGCATCTGTCTGAGCCACTTCCAAATGTTATTTGGCTGTTCTGAACTTTAAAAAATTCTTCAGCCCCTTTTGCCCAGGGAACAGCTCCTACATGTCTCTGTCAAGGTTATATTCTTTACAGAAATAGGCAGAACCTGTTGCTTTACTGTCTAACTGGGAGGGTGGGGTGGGGTATCTCTCCTGGGTTTATCTATAGGGTACTCAATGATGCAGCAGGCTACAGCTGTAGGGGAGGATGATGAAAGATTATAGTCCATAGGTGTTCTTTTTGACTGACTAGAAGCTGGATCTGACATTTTACCAATTTTGAAAATTTGTCGCTGAAACTGAGTGGCCAGAACCATGTTAATATAGCACCCACTCAACTACATAATAGTTTGTCTTCCTGAGTTAGCTGTGATGAACTCCATGTGGAAGTGGACTTCTAGAGAGCTTTAATATCCATGCTAAGGTCACTTGTCTAGGAGTGTTTCAGTCTTTTGTGCCTGTCATGTAGACCATAGACTCATCCCAATTAGTACCTGATATTGCACATAAAGCAGGCCATACAATGGAACTGGTGTTCTGTTTGGCTGAGGTGGTTGTCCTGAAAGTGGAAGTGTTTTTTGTAATTCTGTTGTCATGGTAAGATAAATTTTTAGACTGGTGCTTGCCATAAAACTTACAGAGGAGTGGAAGACCAGTTAAAATGGTCTTGGTCAGTGCCTGATGTTTCTGGGTGATTATTTAATATACCTGGGGAATTTTGTGTCTCATCTGTCAGTGATATGGTTGAAGCTGCAGCTGATCTGTGGAACATGGAGATGACTCAGGTGGCTGACACCTTTATTCCTAACTACATTCTTCCCTCTAGAAGAGCTAAAGCTGCATCTTGTTCATGAAATACCATGTCTCCTTTTATGATCCTGCCTGGCTACACAGATTAGCAGAATAGGCCCTTTTGACGATCGTCTCACTTCTAGCAGTTCACCTACCTAGTCTGTGGGAAAGGGCCTCCCCTTATATGGCTCCCAGGCTACGATGTACATTCTCCAAGGAGGCACACTTGGCCCCCACTGTCCTAGTACTTGTGAAAAACCATTTTTTCCACCAAACCTTTGTTAGTTGAACTGATTTTGATTTGAATAAGGTTGATATAAATTAAATTGTTTTTTTTTTTATGGTTTAAAATTTAGATTTTTAATTGTGCTAAGCACCTTGAATGTTGTGTAAAAAGAAAGATGGGGTATAAATTTAATAAATAAATAATAAATAAACAATAAATAAATTGACTTGAATACATAGAGAAGGTGGGGAAAGAAATAAAATAGGCAAGCATTGGCAGTAATAATTGTATATGGGCAGAGATGGTAAAATGAAGCTTCCTTACTAGAAATTCATTAGGTAACTAATGCATAATTAGAATTAGAATTAGAAACGTTAATAATTCATAATTCATATGAATCTAAATAACTACAAGCAAAATATTTTGGCAAAATAGAACTTTCCTAACTCCATATTTCCAGTACAGTTTTGGGTTTCTGACAAGTGACTTATGAAGGTCTGAGAACCCTCTATTTGATATTCAATACAATGCTAGACCCACAGCTTCAGTGATAGACTTGTAGCTGAGATGGTAAAGTGCATTCATTTCATGCTAGAATCCTATTACAAGCCATTAGGGAAGAATTCTGTGCATAATTAAATACATATAACTCTTATTTACAACCCTGGCTTAGGAGATTTGGGTGGAAGGCACCGTGTTGTAGTGGTTTTTCTTCCTCTGGAGTTGGTTCCAGATGGTGTTGGGGAATGGGAATGATATAGTCCTAAACCTCTTCTTTATGAGGTGCCTCAGAGCTCTACTGTCTCCCAACTTCTTTTTAACATCTACATGAAACCAACAGGGGATGTCATTCCTCTGCATGGGGTACAGTATCATAAGTATGCTGGTGTACATAACTCTGTCCTGGCCAAACAAGTGAAAGCTGTTGAGTTTCTGTCACAGTGTCTGGAAGCTGTGGATGTCTGAAGGGAAGAAGTTCAACCCTACCAAAACTGAGTGTCTGTGGCTTTTGGATCCATCAGAAGGTTATGGATATGAGCCAGGTTTCCTATTATTGATTATTACTGATTGTTGTTTTTTCTTGGATTCCTTTTTCTTGTAAGCCACCCAGAGTTACTGTGTTAAATACATTTAATAAACAAAATTTCTCTTACTGCTAAAAGGACAAAACTAATGAAATTTTGTTTCCAGATTATATTAGGCTTTTTTAATGCACAGACACACATACACAGAGAATTTAAATACAACAGTATCGAATTTTACCAGGTTTTGGATGTAGCCCATGTGGGGTAGCTGTTATTTTAGGGATGGAAACATGATGCTTTGCCTTTGCATCTGAAAGAGAAAAAAAATCTTCCAAATTATTAAGATGTAAATAAGGTCAGGTCTGACATTTTAGAATTGAAGGTGAAGGTGAAGAAACATGCTGTGGATATGAAGTGTACAAAATCAGCCACACAAAAGGATTGAGAAAGAATAGGCTCAATACATGTATAAAATTAGTGATACATGGAAATTTCAGGAGCTAGCTTAAAAGAGAAATGTGAATTACAAACATGGAAGAGTTGACTGCAGCATAACATGGCCACTTCCAGCTATTTTCATATATGACTGAATCACTGTGCAAGAAAAGAAAGAAAAAGCAGTACTGTGGAAAAAATAAATAGAATGGTTAAAAGTCTTCAGTGCTAAATGACTAACAAACCTAGAGAAAGGATGGGTTTTAATGAAAAAAAAAGATGATGTTAGATGATCTTACATATAAGAAAATGTAATGGATTTCTGGACAAGAAAGTAAAATAAGAAAATCAGTCAGTGTGCCAGGAAAACACTATTACCTACTATTGGAAGTTCATTGCTAAACGTAATAGGTTCCAATACTGTACCAGGGAAAAAAGGGATCTATTAGAATATGGAAAACCTTTCAGAATGGCTGTAACTATTGCACTGATTTACAAACAGAAAAAAAATGCTATAGCTTTAAAGACAGAATTTGATATATAAACTTAGAAACTAATCAGAATTGTGGAATAAGAAGCTGCCTTAGTAAGGACCATCCATATCTGTGGCTGTTGGGTAGCTGGACGAAAGCCTAGCATTTATACTCTTTTGTTGCTGGTTTCAGCTATTATTGTTATTCTGGTTCTAATTAAAGATTTCTATTTGTGTTTTTCTTGACTGTTTCTATATTTGTTGTAGTTTTCTGACACCAGAAAGACAGCATAGAAATGTTTTAAAGAAATATATAAAAATACAGTGCTTTTCCAACTTAGCTTTAAAATTCATATCCTTAGGAAACATTTCATCCCTAATAACTATGATCTGAATGTGACTTTTCTTCTGTTCTGTCAATCAGTCAAGCCTTCATGTTCAAGTACAGGCTTGTCCTTGATTCACATTCTGCAATAAAATAATGACTGCTCACAATTTAATATATAAAATGTTTAACTGTTAGGTCTAAATTTCTCCATGTCTAACCAAAAAATGGATTTCTGACCAATCAACAAAGCCTCTACAGCACTAAAATTGTGCTATCAAGACTGTATGTGTTGGGTCATGTTCTAAAAGCCTACTTTAACCTTTAAGTCTTCCACACATTTAGGATACAATTACTTTGAAAAAGTGCTAGAGGATAAATAAATCTACCCTCAACATTATCCATCAGACAGAAATCCTACAACCCCTTAAATATGCAGAGGGAAGGTTTTTCTTTGTCGAGTTGTATACAGTATATGTAGACTTCCATTTCAATGAAAAACCTTCATTTCCTTACAAATGGTTGCACATTCAGTGGATTCCTCCCTGTAGATGAGAACAATGGGAAGGGCTCCATCTGATGAATAACACAGAGGAAACTACACAGCTCTGAGTCACTACATTCAAATTAATCCTAAACTGAACTAATGCAAACAGCTATAGAAACAACAACAACAACAACAACAAATCCTGATAGGTACTATAACTTTAAGGCTATTGCTATTCTGAGCTTTCTTCCAGGATTTAGGTTCTATATCTCAAAAGTACAGTGTAATGCTACATACATTACATCAAATACCAACAGTAACTTAGTGTGTATACAACTCTAAGGTTGAGGTTGTGTAATTGCTCACATTTCTTGTCAGTTTGGCCAAGAAGGCAGTCAAATAAATGTAGGTGACCGAACAGGCAAAGTATAAAAGCTACTTCACTCAATAAAAACAAATTAAATATTTTAGTAAGTGATTGTTTCAAAGGTAGCATAAGCTTTATTCAATTGAACATTTCTCTTTCCCCTCAATGATTAAATATGGTATACAACATCATCCCTAATTCTAATTAACTCAGTATCTGTAATCAGTCCATTGTTTTGTTTTCTGCTTTCTAACAAACTCTATGAGATCTGTATAAAAAAGGGACTTTTGTCCTTGACTAAATCCATCAAAATAACACTTATAAAAATTAGCATTCCTTCAATACTGGCTACTTATATTAATTGAAAAAATGTCCTGGTTATTAATTTCTTTTTTAAAATAAAAGGACTGGAAAGCAACAGTAAAAAATGAATTAGTTTACTACAGGCAAACCAGCATAATTTGCAACACACTACGATGAATATCCTATGATAAACAATGTATGTGGCTTGACACAAAAAGTTGCAGATTACTTCCACTTTCATGATTCAAGTACTATCTCTATATGTACTGAGCTGTGAACCCATGAGGACGTCTTCCAAAGTTCTGTTCAGTCCAGAAACTCCATGAGTCTAAGTAGATGCCATGAATGCATTATGTACCTACAAACACACTGTGCAGTTTTATCAAACACATAAGAACACATAATTACCAGGCTTAGTAAATGGGAGTTCTGATGTTGTGAAAAGTTTAGGAAGATAATTATCGGCCTCAGTTGAAACTGGAAAAAAAGCAAACAACCCCAAAATAAGTTAAGGATCTCCTGAATGAAGGAAAAGATTACGTCTAACTATACAAACATGAAACAGACGTGTTCCATCTTAAAATGTACTGCATGGTCCTACGACGAAGAAATATATTGTCTCAGTTCAATTTTATTCCTCTGTATGAACTTTTAGTGGGTAGGTTGGGATATCTTGAGTTAGAAGTCTACTTCTATCCCCATTCTATAAAGGGGACATTTTCAACACTGATAGTTGAATCAATATATTTAGAAATTATGCATTCTATAATTGAAAGAAGCCTGGATTTCATATTCACGTGGCATAAGAATACACTACAAAGTTTCAAGACATTATCTGGTAAAAAGGTAGAAAGAACTAGGGTAATAGAGGTAAATCCTCAGGAAAATGGATTTCAAAAGTTGCATGAGACAAAAAATGTTTAGTAGCGGGGCCTTCTAATAAAATGCATTTATGTACTGAAGTTCTATACCGTGACCCGCACGCACATCTTTCAAACTTCTCTTCAGTCCAGAAATTCCTTGTGTCTAAGTAACGTCATTAATGCATTCTCTATCAACAATTGCACTGCATACAAACACATACCACACACAAAAGAACACATAATTACCAGGTCTGCTAATTGGGAATTCTGGTGTGCTCAACAGATTAGGAAGATAACTATCAGCCTCAGTGGAAACTGGAAAAAAGCAAACAATCCCAAAATAATTTCAGGATCTCCAGGATGATGGAAAGGGTAACAGCTAAGTACCCAAAGATGCCTCAGAGGCATTCCATCTTGAAATGAAAATGCCACGCGTGTCCTAAGTAGAAAACATATATTGTCCCATATCAGTTTTATTCCTCTTACTATCATAGGAAGTTACTGTGAGAACAGTGGGATGTCTTGAAATTGGAATGTCTACTTCTATTCCCATTCTATAATGGGGACACTTTCAGTGTTGTGCTGCATCATCTACCAACAATCACAGTGACTTTGGTAGAACACATAAAAACACATAATTACCAGGTCTCCTAATTGGGAGTTCTGGTGTGGTCAATAGTTTAGGAAGAGAATTATCAACCTCAGTTGCAACTGGAAAAAGCAAACAAACCCAAAATAAGTTCAGGGTCTCCAGGTTGAAGGACAGGGTAACAGCTAAGTACTGCAAAATGCCTCAGAGGCATTCCATCTTAAAATGAAAATGTCATTTACGGTCCTGAGCTGAAGAAATATATTGTGACATTTTATTCCTCAGGAAGTTATTGTGAGGACAGTAGGATGTCTCAATATGTGAAAGTCTGATTTAATCCAGTTTTATTAGGGGCACTTTCAGTCTTGTGCCTCATCCATAATTGGATGAATAGATTTAGAAATTATACATTTTACCAACTCAAGAAATTATCTTGCAAAAAGCAGAAAGAAGTATTGAAAAAAGTCACTCTACCAGGTTTCCTCTCTGCTACTTCTGGCATGATAGAGTCGTGTTCTTTAGGTTTTGACAGAACAGGGCTTGGTTCATAAGTAGCTGAAAGGAAGCTCCAATTCAGATTTAATGTATACGCTTACAGGAACATATAGGATTCAAAACATTGTGTGATAGTAATATCATATAAAAAAAAGTTTGAAGTGAAAAGAGAAAGAATTTTTGGAGGGGGATGGGGGTAAAAAATGAGGAAAATGGATGTACATTGGGATGTCTCGAGATGGGAAAGTCTCCTTTAATCCTGTTCTATTAAGGGGCAGT